TCCGGGGGCAGTTTCTGTCCCTGGCTCTCCCTCTCCTCTCACAGGACCGGGCCAGACCTCCTGTCCAGTTTGGTCCACTTCTCCCAGCATCCCGTAGCCCCCACACTTGGAGTCGTTTCCAGGTGCGCTAAGCGGGGTGGTGGTGCAGGTGGTTCACAGCTGAACGACTAGGGCCCGCACACCAGGCGTTGGTGTCCGGGTCTTTTTCCAGCCCTCTGGCACCTTGAACCCAATGGTACCTATCTCCTGAGGGCCCAGTACCTTATTTCAGAGGCCTTATTTCCTTCTCGTGGGCATCTTGAGTATATAAAGGACTTAGGCAATGAGGAACAGTTCAGTCCTCAGACCCCCCTGGGTCTTCGCGGACATTCTCCTGCCCCTTGGGGGGGGGGGCTCTTTTCAGTTAGGCCAGGTCTTGGAGCAGCTGCCACTTTCAGAAGACGCAGCCCTTGGTGATCGACCTTGCTAATTCTGGGAGGGGAACTGGGGGCCTGGCGAAGGAGACAAGGGAGGGAGGGGAAGCGGACAAAGGATTTCTTTCTAGAGCTGGTTCTCAGAATGCAGGGAAGCAGCAGGAGAATTCCCTCCCCCCCACAGCCCCCTCCACCTGCAGAATCCTGGTTGGGACCCTCATTCATTCATTCATTCATTCAACAGATTCCTCTTTTCCAGCCCCCACTATGTGCCAGGCTCTGGGCTGGGCAGCAGGAGTTTGGTTTACAAGAAGATTGGGACACAGAGAACATAAATCACTGCCCCAGGATGACTCAGACTGTCCATGTGAAGATGGATTTGGTGATTTCCAAGTCCATGGTTTGGCTGGGACAGAGGGAGCAGTGCCCTGCTTTGGAGGAAAGACCCTGCTGTGTCCCAGTCCTCTGGCTTCATTGTCCCTGGCTAACATTGTGACTGCCACAGAAGCCTGGGCCAGCTCCCTGAAGCAGCCTTGGGAAACTTCCAGATGGGGGGGAGTGACTGGGCAGTCAAAGTGATCTTGGCTCCTGGGAAAAAGGCAAAGATGTACATTCTTCTTGAATGTCTCTGGAGACTCCACTCCGTCCTATGCCTAGTGCCTAGTCCCTCCTGACAGCCTGACAGCCAGTGGAGGACTTCCTAGTTTCCAGATCTGATGTCACCTCTTCCCTATATCCTAGGCGGTTCTGTCTGTGGGTAAGCACAGGGTCTGGTTGGCCTATACCTGGAGGACTCCGGGGCAGTGCTACCAGGTGTTCTCCTGCATGTTGTCCACTAGTTGTGTCTCCTTCCAGGACCCAGGATGGCGTGTTGACTCTTTCCAAGGATGTGGGCAGGGTGCTAGGCTCACGGACCTCATGAAAGCAAAAGGTCTGGACCCCGAGCTCATAGTGCTCAGACCCTGAGACTCCCATCCGCCCACTCTACCTGCAAGCTTCGCCATGGCCACCCAGAATGGGAACACCAGCTTTGCAACCAACTTCAATTCATCTCAAGACCATGCCTCCTCCCTTCCCTTCAACTTCAGTTATGGTGATTACGACCTCCCTCTGGATGAGAGTGAGGACATGACCAAGACTCGGACCTTCTTCGCAGCCAAGATCGTTATCGGTGTGGCACTGGCAGGCATCATGATGGTTTGTGGCATTGGCAACTTTGTCTTTATTGCTGCTCTTGCCCGCTATAAGAAGCTGCGCAACCTCACCAACCTGCTCATCGCTAACCTGGCCATCTCTGACTTTCTGGTGGCCATTGTCTGCTGCCCCTTCGAGATGGACTACTACGTGGTACGTCAGCTGTCCTGGAAGCATGGCCACGTGCTCTGTGCCTCTGTCAACTACCTGCGTACCGTGTCACTCTATGTCTCCACCAATGCCCTGCTGGCCATCGCTATTGACAGGTGAGGATGTTGGGCTGGGGCAAAGATGGGGGCTGGGCCAGACTGCCCCTTTCCTCACTTCAGCTCCGACAGTTGGCATTGCTTCCGATGTGAATGCTCGCTGATCTGTCACTGGGCTAGAAGAGACCTGGTTTCTCCAGTTGTGGTTCTTGTTCTCCCAAATGTGAGCACGAGTGAGGCTTCTGAGTCCCCCAGTTCTGGGCCATGCCCCCAAATACCACATCTGTTTCAGATAATAGGCATGACAGATGGCCATGAGTGGCATCAAACACAAAAGCAAACGCAGCAAGTTTAGGCAGCTTACTACTTAGAAGCCACATAAGTTAACCAGTGTAGTTTCCAGGCAAGATAGCATGGACCAAGCTTTTCTGTAACCACTACCCAGTTCAAGATATAGAACCTTTTCTTCCCCTAGAAAACTTTCTGATGTCTCTTACCAGGCAACCTTCCTGCCACACACAACCCTGATCCAATTTCCATCGTCACAGCTTAGCGTTGCCTGTCCTTTAACTTCATAAAAATGGAATCATATAGGATGTACTCATTTCTGGTGAGTTTGTTGCGCAGCTGATTTTAAAACCAGACAATAGGATTTGTTTGCAGAAAAGAGGGAAGGACATGCTTCCTTTGCTTTTTTTGCATACATCCATGTGCTCATTTGCATACATTTGCATGAGATGTTCTGGAAGTCCTTGCTCTGTTATAGATTTATAAAATAAAATTTCTAATAGCAGCTTATGATAAATCTGATACATATTTTATTTATGTGTAAACAGTTGTAGGCCAGCAGTGGCTTTGTTTGAGGGGAGCAATTGATGTCACATCCTCTTGGTCTAGCTGTGCTGAAACTCATTTTGATAATGTTGTTTTAAATCTTCTTTTTTTTCCCTTTTTTCCTTTTTTAACTCTTTTGTTTTTCCCTTGTTCTCATTGCTATTTAGGTTTGTTGTCCTTTTCAATCAACCATTTTATTATTTTTCATTTATGATCATTAAATACACATACATAAGAGGCATCTTTTTATAACATAATTCTTACAGGAAAAACAATTTTGTTATTATACCCCTGAGACTATCCAGCCTCAAACCAGTGTTTATGAAATGTACCCATCAACCAACCGCACAAAATTCCCCAAGGGAAATGATACAAGGTATTGTTTGATACAGTGATATAAGATCAGATTCCTGGGCCCCACCCAACCCCTGCTGAATAAGAATTTCTGAGCTAGGGCCCAGGAATCTGCATTTTTATTCAATTCCCTGAGTGATTCTTTTTGTTTTTTTGTTTTTTGTTTTTTTTTCTTTAGCTGAGCCATCCTGCTACCTATTGGCATCTCAGCGGCTGCTCAGCTCGGGCTGGACTCGAACCGCTGTTGCTCAGAGCTCAAACTCTTGAGCAAGCTCTTAACCAACTGAGCCACTCGGCCGGCCCCCTGAGTGATTCTATTGTTCACTCAAGTGAGAGTTATCACTGGTCTCATCCCCTTTGTCCCATTGAAATCTTTGTCTTTATAATGTAGTTTGGTTTTTTGTTTGTTTTTCTTTTTGTTTTTTGGTAAGAGAAGTTTCTTAAGAAGCAACCATCTTCTTACAACACAAAGAGTGGTTCATTTTTCACCACAGATCAGCTCTGCCCTGGTCAGCTTCCCAGCACCATTAGCAGTTACAGCGGGCTCCCAAATCACCCAAATAGGAAAAATCTGCATTATTCTTTGCCTTTCTTCCTGCCCCACCTCTACCCAACCACCCATCTTTTGTGTTCAGCCCTTCATCAAGTCTTGGCAACTAGTTGTCCCTCCAGCCTCATCTCTTGGCTTGCCATAGCTGGGCCATCATAATGCTCCTCTAACCTGTCTCTTCACCCCACCCAGGGGCTCCTCGCTGTCCCCTGGAATCCATACTCATCCATATTAAGCATCAGAATATCATCATTAATGAATTTTAAAAAAATATTTCATTGCTTACAAACCTCCAAAAGTTTCAGTGCCTAACAGAATACATGCTAAATCCTGAGTCTAGCATTCCAGAGCCTTTATAATCTGATGCCAAATTGTCTTTCCAATCTCATGCTGTGTATGGAGGAAATACAGATAGTCTTTTCCAAAGAACATTGTATTTTAAGCACAATAACCATGTTTTCTATCTTTCTGTCTCCACAGTGTCTAGCACAGAGTCTTATACCTGTGTCTTAGTTTGGCTTACTCCCAAACTAGACTCTGAGACAAGGATTCATGTTGCATGTAGCACCCAGGAAGTGCCCACAGGGAGATAGGATGTGAGGCAGGCAAGGGAAGGCAGTCACTATAGACTGTGTTACTGAGCAGGGTTCCACTGAGGGCAACTGATGCTTATTCCTCCTGGAGCTGGTGTAGGTCACACCTCAGAGTTCTCTTAGGGGTGGGAAGTGGAAAGGAGCTGGGGTATTTATACACCAACTCATAAGTCATTGGTGAGAATTGCTCTGGAAACGCTGTGCATATAGTCAGGAGGACTCATGAAGCCAGAGAAGGCCTTCAGATAATGAAATGCAGGTGCTAGCAGATGGGAGTGGACAGATGTGCACTGAAGCAATAAGAGCAAAAGGGTATGAGAGGAGCAGTGACAGCATCTGCTACTCCCTGGTAAATCCACAACAGGTTGCTGGTCCTGCTGTGTGTGCCTAACCTATGGATGTGGAAACAAAGTAATGGAAGACACAGTCCTTGAGCTCAGGGAGCTTTTCTTCCCACAAAAGCTAGAATAATCAAGTGGCAGGTAAGAGTAACCTGGAGGAGGATGTGATCATTATGTTAGTGATGTAGTCTGGTAATGCTTCATGAAGAAGACATAAAATTCAAGTGTGCTATCTGACCACCTCCTACTCACTCCATTGATGAAGGCAGGATTCTCCTGCCCTAAATAGCCCAAGATGACTGAACACACAACACCTGACACTGGACAGATGTGACCAACAGCAGTTAATTTGTCTCATATACTCACAGCCCATGGGAGGAGGACACTGCACACCATGCAGGGCCGTATGGCAGTTGCACTCAGGAATAGAATAAACCAGCAGGGACTGTGGGCAGCAGACTTTATAGTGACAAGAGGATGGGGTGACCCTTGGTTCCCCTGGGAGAATGTGATTGGCTTGTTTGAATAATTTTTAACTGGCAGGTGAAACCCATAAGGTTGAGGATTGGGGGTGCAGCTGGTCCAGCTGATAGAGGAACTAGCAGAACAGGAAGCCTTTCCTGCTGGATGGAAGGGTGTATCTGGGGAGAACAGAATCTTGTGGCTAGGCCTTTGGGACCCTGTGAGGCTCAAAGATGTCAAAGCAGCACATTAAATTTGAGGCCTTGCAATACAGGAACCAAATAAATACCACCCTTTCCTCACTCAGATCCTAAAGCAATTGAAAAATAAGGCAAAATGGTAAGAAAGATGGATGGCCAAATTCTCTTTTGTTGTGATGGCACTTACATTGGATAATGGGGCTTTTATCTGTGGGAGGGACCACTTCATATTCATAATTAGATAAACCTGTGAACCCTGATGCTAGCAGGGTGGGAGACTCACAGGCCTCCCTGGGCACTTCAGCTTACTTCTTGGTAAATGTGCCTGTCCTACTATGTGGAAATAGCAGAAGGACTACCTACTGCCATTTCTGGGTGCCACAGCCAGAAGAGCAAGGTTCATGTGTAGAGGACCTAGAAGAGATGCTATTTCAAGTCACAGAGATCCTAAAAGGGGAGTGTTGACCTCAAGAAACACATCTAAGCAGATAGATGGGAACAAAAACCTTGCTTTGTGGTGTCAAGGCAACTTCACACACCTCATCTGAGCTTGAGACAGGCCAGGGAGGTGGGTGTAAAAGCTTTGTATCATGAGCCTGGATTCTGGTCCCTTCACCAATTAAGCCTGGACAGATCACTTACTTCTTAGATTCCTTAGATTCTACCCCAACCCCACCCCTATTCTCCTGCTCTGTAATGCAGGATGACACCTTGGGGGAGGAGAGAAAAAGTCCTGGTCTACTGCCCTAAAAAAGGTCCCTACCTCTCTCTGAGGTCCTCAGCCCTTCTGTCTCCTCTAAACCATGAGATCTTTGGAATGAAGAGTTTTGAAAGTATTATGTTGTTGGGCAGAATGGCAAGACTGAAAGCCAAGATAGTATCAATAGGACTCATAATAATAATAGGCCACATGTATTTATTGCACACCTACTACATGCCAAGCATTTTACAAACATTACCATATTTAATAGTCACAGCAGCTCAGCAAGGTAGGTGTCATTTTATCCCATATTGCAGTTGAGGAAACATATCTCAGAAAGACTGAGAGATTCACTCCAGACCCCAAAGCCAATAGGGGGAAAAAACAGGATTTATTCCACCGGTTTGACCAAAGGCCTGTGCTGTTTCCTCTAAACCACTCCACTCCTCCAAATGCCAAATGATGTTGCTAAAATAAGACAAAGCTTGTTGAAGGTGGATATAATAGGTACATGGGGACTCGAGCCATTTTGTCTGCTTTCGTGTTTGGGGTTAGTTAGAAACTAATAATGTTCCCAAGCACACCTCATCATTATTGATGACTTCCCTCCCCCACCAGATATCTCGCTATCGTTCACCCCTTGAAACCACGGATGAATTACCAAACTGCCTCCTTCCTGATCGCTTTGGTCTGGCTGGTGTCCATTCTCATCGCCATCCCCTCCGCCTACTTCACAACAGAAACGGTCCTCTTTATCGTAAAAAACCAGGAGAAGATCTTTTGTGGCCAGATCTGGCCAGTGGACCAACAGCTCTACTACAAGTCTTACTTCCTCTTCATCTTCGGCATCGAGTTCGTGGGCCCCGTGGTCACCATGACGCTGTGCTACGCCAGGATCTCCCGGGAACTCTGGTTCAAGGCGGTGCCTGGTTTCCAGACGGAGCAGATCCGGAAGCGGCTGCGCTGCCGCCGGAAGACGGTCCTGGTGCTCATGTGCATCCTCACCGCCTACGTGCTGTGCTGGGCGCCCTTCTACGGCTTCACCATCGTGCGCGACTTCTTCCCCACGGTGTTCGTCAAGGAGAAGCACTACCTCACGGCCTTTTATGTCGTCGAGTGCATCGCCATGAGCAACAGCATGATCAACACCGTGTGCTTCGTGACCGTCAAGAACAACACCATGAAGTACTTCAAGAAGATGATGCTGCTCCACTGGCGTCCCTCCCACCACGGGAGCAAGTCCAGCGCCGAGCTCGACCTCAGGACCAGCGGGATGCCGGCCACGGAGGAGGTGGACTGTATCAGGCTGAAGTGACCCTGTGGTGTTTCACACTGGAAAATCCAAGAGCCAGTACTTAAGAGCAAATTTTACCGATAACCACGTTCACAGGCTGCATGAGGCAAGGGCAGGTGGGTCCAGGCCTCACCGCCCTCGGTTCTGGATACTTCACAGGCATAACAAGCAACGAGACCATACACAAACCACGGCAGCTGACCTTTACAGTGATATCTGCTAAGCACCTACTGTATGCACAACCACACCAATGAGACTGCACAAGTAATGGCAACTGACATCGACTGAGCATGTACTGTGTGCTAGCCACACCAATGAGACTAGACAACGGCAACAGGAGCTGACGTTTATTAATTACTGACTGTGTGCAAAAGTATTTAAATAACAAAACTAAACGGCAGAATGGCCAGACAGAGGCCTCAAGTGGTCACCTGGATTCACTCTCCATCTTCCCTTATTCTGTATCTTATCAGGGCAGGAATGTCAAAAGGCAATAAAATAAGGCACTCAGACATGATGGAAGTGTAAAAATAAGCTTGTCAGAGTACGGGGTTTATAGCCTCATGGGAAGAAAGTTTATGCCATCACGTTGAGCTTTCCCACCCAAGTCCTACTACCTCCCTAGGACATTCTCTAGGATTCTGGCAGCCAGAGAAGAATTTTTCTCATAGCCAGGTCATTGGTTATCTACAGTGGTGTAATTTCAAAGTGAAGAACCAAAAAAATATTTCCCAGTGATGCTTGAAAGCTCATCATTCTTTTGGGTGAAGACAGATAATCCTGAAACGAAGAACACAGCCAGTTAATGACACCTTATGTAAAGTATTAAAGAGAGCCTAGTGTCAAGGAGGAAGGGGTCAGAAAAAGGGGTAGAGCTTGCTACTGGCAATGAACATAATCTGTGTGGCTGTTTTGCTAAGGTCTGGACCACTTTTCTAGAACAAACCCTCTTTTACAAATGAGGTCTACTAGGAATCCGAAGGCCTGGTTTCAAGTCTTAACTCACTCATATGACCTGGATGTTTACTCTCCCTGAGTCTCAGTTTTGCTTCAATGAAATAAGGATGATGAAGATACTTGTACTGTCTACCTTATAGGACTGTTGGGAGAGCCCACTGAGGCCATACTTTGTGAAAATGTGTTTCAACTATATGAGTGATAAGAATGGATAAGTGATATTTAAAGTTTGTTTGGACAAGGGAAACCTCCTTTACTGTGGCTTATTATGGAGAAACATTCCCACTTTTTTTATCTCTAGTTGGACCAGAGACCCCTGAATTCTTCACAGTGCAGCCCATATACATTGGGGCAAAAAAGGAATCCCTGTCCTGGATAATAATCTAGAAGATTCAACCTCAGAGTCTTAGTGACCCCCTTCCTTTCAGCATCCCTGTGGTCCTAGAAGTGTTGACAATCTTTCCCTGCATGTTGTATACCCCAGGGCCTCATAATATGTTTGTATTATGATACATCTGTGGTGATTGTGTGTATTTGTCATAATTTCTTCCTGATTCATTTTGAAACAGAGACTATACAAATGTACCTAGTTTGGGGTTGACCCATCCATATTTGGACAACTGTTTTTTTAAAAAAGAGAAAGGGTTATTTAGTTCTTTGCTTGTGGTTGTTTTTTTTTAAATTAACTTTTGGGTTGTTTTACTCAACAGTGACGTTTCAATCAACATTTTTTTCCATCACCACCCAGCAGACACTTTCAAGCCCAACCACTGTGCTCTCAGAAAATGTTAGCCTAAGCCAAATTGTTTGTAAATTCTGATTTTACAAAATTACACAATGCATTCTAAACCCAAGCAAGTAAGTATTGGGGGTTATCTGCAACTTTGCAAATATAATAATAACTATTTTTATGTATTACCACCTTCCTGACTCTTCTCCTAGTAAGATTCTTTAAGAGTAAGCTGTGTACCAGTTGTGTCTGTCAAAAGAATTCATCCCCCTTTTTCCTTTTGATCCTGAAATGTACTATCCTCTCTCCATTTAAATGTAACCTGAAACAATTTTTGTAAATATTAGTGTGTTTTTATGGTTTTCCAGTGCTATGTTGTTATCAAATGAAATATTAACATATGGAATCTTACCAGAGTGTTACAGCATTTCCCCCGCTAATCTATTATATATGTTAGTATATTTAGATATAGGAGTAAATGAAGTAATATCTAGCTAAACAGTTCAACCTTGAAACAGAAAAGGAATTTGTTGAAGGCATTTTTAGAACAGCAGCAGCGCATACCAGCAACCAGCCTCATCTTGGTTACATTGCTCAAGCTTACAGCCCAGAAGTGTATTCATGCATGCAAATAAGCAGAGAACCACTACTTCATGCCTATGTTACTCCTTCATTTTAAAATCATCTTGTTTGTTTAATGAAAACTGCTGTTTGCATGGGAACTGTTCGTTCATCTAACTGGTGTTAAGGTAATAAATTAATTGCATTGTGTTTAACTTTTTCTTATCAAGACTAATTAATGATAAGCTTAAAAATACTTTTAATGTGCTAAGATATATAAGCACTTATATATACTATTATATATTGAAATTTTAATCTCATTTGGCAAAAAGAATCCATTTTCTCAGCCAAGATATGAGAAAAGATGGCTTTGTGGTGAAGCTATTAGAGATTTTTTTTCTTCAGCATCCAACATCTAAAATAAGTTGATGCTGAAATTGAAGAAATCAAAAGATGGCTTTCAGCCCTTCAGGCATAAAAACCAATTCCAGACTTATGAGGGAGAATGTGACATGTGGGAGGTGATTAGAAAACTTAAAGTGAGTTCTATTTCTAGGGGAAAATGATAGCTTTGAAACTTATCTCCTCAATTTAACCATTATCTCTCCCCTGGGCTCAAGAAGACACACACACACACACACACACACACACACACACACACACACACACACACACACACACACCACACACCAATAGGACACCAGAGCAGGAAAAGACCTTTTAAGGGCATATAACTTGATTCACTCGTATCTTAGATGAGAAGATCTGAATTTCAAATGAGGGAATGACTTAACATTGCACAGCTAACACTTGCCCGACCCAAAACATTGCCCCAAGTTCTCACTGTGGTCCAGTAAACTGCACTCAGTAACTGCCCTCCTGAGTCCAAAGGGCCCTCTCTAAGAATGATTAAAGGGCCGTTTAAGTTAGTTTCTAACCTCGTACGAGAATCTTAAACTGCATAAAAGATACCTTCCCTCCATCTGGCAAGCAAAAAGTGCATCCCATCCAAGGGATTTTGTAAACCAGACTCCAGAATTCCAGAGAAACCAGAGAGAATTACACCAGGACACTCCAGTGTTTTTGTCTTTCTTTTCCCCTAATGAGAGAGATGACCCCACTGGGGGATGTCTAAAGATGTTTGACTGGAATGCACAGGAAGCTATTAAGAAGTGATGCTGGAGCCATGTGGGAAGGCATATTGTGATGAGAGGCGACCCTGGCCCCAGGAAAAGCAGCAGTGGGAGAGAAGCTTGCTCACATTCAAAGACAAAGCAAGCCTGGGGCCACGGAAGACAGAGTGTGCAATCTTCACACACATTACTACTGCTGACCCCATGCAGAGGTCATTCTTCATGCCTCCCAGGAACCAAATGCCTTCTGGTTAGCCACCAGGTTAACCTCTCTCCTGAGGTTTGCCACCCAGGCACACATCACCTCCTGGGGTTGCTTGAACCACTTCTTACAGGTGTTCAAAGAGCTCCAAATACAGTACAGTTTTTCCAAGAGATAAGCTGGTGTAAAAAAAAAAAAAGCATGGCACTTTCTTCAGATATAACAAGTTGTTGACAAGGGATTCATTGGAACTTGGAAATAATAAGTAATCACTGAACAGGGAAGTAGGCAAGGGAGTTGCCTCCAAGCAGCAGGGAGGTCAGCCCCAGGAACAGAAGGCCATGTAGACACACAAGGTCTTCTATGCCTTTGTTGATATCCTTTTGTGACGTATGAGTCCCAGGCTGAAATGAAAGAGGTTGTCTCCAGAATCTCGTTTAATGCAGACCATGGGTTCCCAGCTCTGGGTCCAGCTCCTGGGCAAGATCCTGACATAATCCCTTGACTGAACTCTGCTAAAGCAATGATTCAGTGTGTGTACAAAAGTGTCTCCCATCCACTCATCCAGTCTCTGTGAGAGCTGCTGTGGAGGAACAAAGATGATGGAGATGCAAGCCTGAAACTCAAGGTGACTCTTGAAACAGTGTATGATTGACTCTATCTCAAAGTTGAGACACCATAAGAACAAAAATGGAGGGAATTTAGAACACAGGTTCCATCCAGCCATGAGGATCAGAGGAGGTTCGTGGTGGGGTAGTTAGGCTGAGCCCTGGAAGATAGGGAATGGTGGGGAGAAGGTATGTAGGCCAAGGGAATAGAATGAGCAAAGACATAAAAGAGGGGAAATGAGATGGAATACAAATGGAACAGCAAATCGCTTGGTCTGACAGGCACATAGAATACAGAGTGTTTAGAAGAAGAATAGACTCAGGCAGCAGACCAAAGAGCAGGATGAAGAAAGAGGCCAGGCGTAGGGGTGGATTCACAGAGCCTGGGATTCACAATCAGACAGAATTGTGTTCAAATAGTAAGTCTCACTTAACCATGTGAATTTGAAAATATACCTTACCCAGGCTTTAGTTCCTTATGTGTAAAATGGGAATAATAATCATAATAATACCTACATCATCGGATTTTATGTGCATTAAATATATAGCTTAGAAAAATGCCTAGTACATCATAAGCAGACAACAGGTAGTAATTGTTATTTTTAGAATGATTAATTCTCGGAGCAGAATTTCTCCTGCATGAATTCAGGACATTGTATATCACATATAATGGATATACTATTTTGGGATTATGTAACCAGAGTATTTGTATTTTCTATGATCCCAAGTCCCTTGTCTCTTGTACTCCTAACTGTGCCTGACCTGCTTTTCAGATCTTTGAGTATTATTTATTAAAGGGGCAACCCCAGCTTCTGCTCCAAGGTTATTCTTATTACAGTAAGTCCTCACTTAATGTCATCAATAGGTTCTGTGACTTTAAGTGGAACCACGTATAATGAAATTAATTTTACCATAGGCTAATTGATATGAACAAGAGTTAAGTTCTTACAACATCATATAACATTGTAATGAAATGATGTTATTCGAGGACCTGCTATATAGCATCACAGAAACACAAGGTGCTGATGTTTCTGGTTCTCAGATTACTCCGCCTGAGCCTGTCTTCTTTGCTCTAAGCAGGATTTTATGTAAAAATATCTCTTAATGTTAGGTTTACAAACCCACTGAGGTGGCTATGAATGAACCTCTGCTCCCCAGGATGGTGGGCTGAGTAATGATCCTCCAAGTATGTCTACTTCCTAATCCCCAGGGCCTGTCAATATGTCATCTTAGAACAGAAGGGATTTGCTTGTGTAAAGTTAAGCACCTTGAGATGAGGAGATAACTCTGCATTATCTGGGGTGAGCCCAATGTCATCACAAGGATCCTTATAAGACACAGGCAAGAAGGACAAAGTCAGGAAAAGGAGATGTCATGACAAAAGCAGAATGGAATGATGTGCTTTGAAGATGGAGGCAGGAACCACAAGCCAAGGAAATCAGACACCTTCTAAAAGCTGAAAAGGGCAACAAAACAAATTATCCCCTGAAATCTTCAGAAGGAACACAACCCTGTTGTTTTGGATTTCTGACCTCCAAAACTGTAAGAGAATAAGTTTATATTGTTTAAAGCCACTAAGTTTGTGTTGACTTGTTACAGCAGCAATAGGAAACAAATACACCCAGGTACCAATTCCATTGCTATCTTTGAGGGTGAACATTCAGGAAACACTTCGGTCCTCCCCAAACTACATGCCTCTGGCTGGATGTCTACCCTTCTGCCTTAACATCAGTGAGGCCAGCCATAGAATGAGGCTGATTTGGAAGGCCCATAACTGGTGGTCCAGAAAAGGACAGGCAATATGCCAGTCAAGGCTGGCTAAGGGTCAAGTTTAGGGAGAGCAATAAAAAAGCAGGAGGAACAGGCAGAGTCCAGGAGGTCAGACAACAAACTGAGGCCCAAGAAACAGCACTGATGTGCTCAGCTCCTAGGCCAGCAATGCTCCATCTCTGTCATGGGTTGCCCCCCTGATCTGCAAGTCAAACAGGTGTGGGAGTTGTTTGTCACAAAAAGAGATTAAAGGCTGTGGGAAAATCCTGCCCTGGACTGAAATCAATGCAGAACTAAGTGGCTGAGTTCCCTTTCACCTAGACACACTTATCAGACCTCTGAGGCCATGAAAATATCAGAAAACACGTTGGAAGCCAAGTAATTGCTTCCACATCCTTCACCGTCACAGGATCTGCTCTTACGTAATAAATCCAAGATGACTCCTCCTTGGAAATTTAGGAATTCCTAAACCAGTGTGGTTCACCCACACTCTCTCCATTACCAAATATCCTCTTACTACCTTGGCACCTTTTTTAAGAGGAGAAAAAAAGAGGTGAAATCAAATTAGGGGAAAGGACAGGAAATAACAAGGCACCTACCTGTATCATCACCTTCTTGATTGCCAGGTTCTGTGAGGCTTGACATGTGAAAGCATGTTTAAACCTCTATGTTATTGATTTCGTCGTTCAACATGGTTAAATCCCCTCACCCTTGCCCCACCTAGAAGTCCTTGATGTAGAAGTAAGATCAACAGGCAGAGTAACATGTGAGCTGTTATCAGGACTCCCTTGTGAATAGCTGTTGGGAGCACAAAGCACCTACCTTCATCCAGGAGTTGCTCAAAGAATAAGTTCACAAGGTATTTTTCAAGAAATATATTTTTTTAATGAACAGCCTTTTTTCTATATAGAGTCAGTTCTCATTGTTCTTGGATTCTGTATTGTTTAATTACCTTATGTGCTAACATTTATTTATAACCCTCAAATAAATCCTCATGGCACTTTCATGGTCACCTACAGACATGCAGAGCAGGTCATTCAAAGTGCGTGTTCCCAGCTGACGTCCAATAAGCTGACACTCTGCCTTCTTAATTCAGTTCTCATACTGCAAACAAGTATCCTTTTCACATTCTATGTCATGCCATGTTTCTTGCATTTTTATGCTTTTTGTTGGTGGTTTTGCTGTTTAAAGGACAGCTAAAGGGCTATCCAGTGCTCTCAAATGCAAGAAGAAAGAGAAAATACATGTGTTAGATAAACTTCATTCAGGCATGAGTTATAGAACTGTTGGCCATGAATTCAGTGTTACTGAATCAACAATATACATTAAATAAGGTGTCTTTAAACAGAAACACACATAAAACAACGGTATGTACTGATTGGTTGGCAAAACTGTTGTGACTAGGGGCTCACAGAAAACTAACCCTATAATTCCTCTAGGAGGAATTGGTCAGTATTCAATAATTCAGT